TAAAAAATACTAATAATCTATTTGTCGTAGATTATATTAAAAAATGGGTGACAAACTTTATTTTGATAATTCTTCATTGGTTATTTTTAAATTTTATTTTTTGTAAATTCATTGTTAAGATAGTTCTAATAATATTTATATTTTTGATGTAATTTCTATATATAATAGACTATCATCCTCTAGAAACTTCTCTTAATGTACTTATTGAAAGTTTTTTTTTTTAGATATTCGAATTTTGACATAATTTAAGTGATATATGATAAATAAGTTCTATATGAATAATCCGATTTGTTTGCTAAGTAGAGTTTGATAAAAAAAAAAAAAAATCTATTTGTCTTAGATTACATTAAAAAATGAATGACAAACTTTATTTTAATCATTCGTCATTTATTGTTTTTAAATTTTATTTTTGTGAATTCATTATTAAGATAGTTCTTATAAAGGATCAGATTAATGACATATAATATTTATATTTTTGATGGAATTACTATATATATTTGATAGAGTACTTATTAGACTATATAAAAAGATAAATAGAAAAGACATAAAATTACCACTGAAGTTGCCTCGAATTTTTCAAAAAGGCACACTAACTTTGTGGGCGTCGTATTACCCATAAAAGTATTAAATATCTTTATAAATAGACCATTCTGACCCATTTTCGCCTAATGTTTGTGAACACGCAAATATCAGCGCATGAATGAGTCAGTTTACATCCCAAAATCAATTTTAAAATGCCACATTTCAGTTGATTTCTCTATTAATTAATTAAATCTTTAAATACACCATCATCCCCAAAATTTCAATAGAGCTTATTCTTCATATCTGCTATCAAACTCGTTGTAAATTGTAATTTTATCCAAAAAAGATGAACATGACAGTTTCACAATACAAGATACCATTGTACAAGAGAGAACACAAATTCCGATAATGACGCAAATCAGAATTAGAATCTTTGTACCGAATTTCGACAACAATGCCGACCCTTTCTACCATTAATTAAGACACTAGCTTCCCCAAACTTTCAATAGAATTTATTTTTCAAGTTTACTATCAAACTTACTGTAAATTACAATTTCATTTGAAAAGACGAACACAAAACGCCGGTGAAATATAAATTGGATACAACGACGACCTATCTTTATTTTTCTAGTGGTGGATGGGTAAATCAACTTACATTGTTGCCAGAGCTCAAAAAACCGTATCCCTAAACAGGTGTTTCCCCAACAAATCACAAATACATGAAGAAAATAATATGATTTTTTATCAAATACAAGATAAATATGAAATCTTAACCTATTAACCTTCAATCCCTTGTTTATTTAGTTAAAATGCCGTGCAAATTTTAATGGAAAAGAAAAGAGAATCTGAAAAATGAAAAAGAAAAGAGATGGAAGTGCTTTTGTTTAGATTGGGGTTGGGTTATCCTCACTTTTATTTATTTTTAAATTTAATTAAAATGGATCAAAGGGGTGACCATCACGTGCTCTTCATAGATGAGAAAATGAGTCAAAATGGTATATTTATAAAGGTAGTTAATATTTTTCTGGGATAATAGAACGTCTGCAAAGTTAAGGTGTCTTTTTGAAAATCCGGAACAACTTTAGTGGTGATTTTATGTCTTTTCTCAAAGATTAAATGTGAAACTTGGATTGAAATTGCTAGCTTTAAATTTCGTTTGAAAAAAATAAATCAAATGATATTATCATTTAATAAATGAAAAATGATCAAAACTACCCTTCAACTTTCGAAATAGATTAAGTATACCGTTAAACTATCTCTCGGTTCAAAAGTACCCTTTCCGTCTTACTATTGGACCAGACTTACCCTTCTATTTAACGGAAGAGCATGTGGCATCCCATGTGTGTATTAATATGCCACATAGATCTCCACATGTGCATGCCCACCCCACCCACCTCCACATAGACGTTCTAAGAACCCTAATTTCACCATTTTCCCACATTTCGTCATTTTCTTAAAAGAAACCTAAAGAAGCTTCCTTTCACCATATCTAATTTCACTCTGAAGATTTACGCAACAACATTATTTAAAGAATAGTGAGTGCAACAGATCGAATTTAGTAGATTAGAGGCAAACCAAACCGTTGATTTCTTTGTTACATTCCATTATTAACAAAAAGCAAAAAGATTTGATGAGAATCGACCTGATTGGACTCAATCACCCTTTGTAAACTCTACCAAAACCTCGTTCTCCAAGAAGATAATCACCTCGAAATTTTTTTGTTGCATCTGCTAAATCATGAAATATAGAAGTCTTGACTGCAATTTGGTTGGACCCTGCCTCCTTATCAACTTTCTTTGTGCGTAATGAATTCTTTGCTCTCAACTTATCCGAAGACGAGAACAAAAATAGAAAAGTAAACAAAAGCATGGCACTGAAGTGAGGCAACTAGTGTTCAGAAATAAGAAGGATGTTTGACAAACAAGGAAAATGACATCTAATTTTTTTTATTGGTTCAACTTAGGAATGTGGGAGGTTGTTTGAAGTTTGAACTATGAAGTGTAATTAAATGTAAAAGATTGCTTGAAATTTGTACTATGAAACTTCACTAGCTGATGTTGGTTACATTAAAATTTTTAATATGACATACGCTACCAAAAACAACAAGACTTGACAAGCTCATGAATAATGTTGCACTCACTATTCTTTGAATAATGTTGTGTAAATCTTCAAGGTGAAATTAGGGTTGGTGAAAGGAACCTTCTTTGGGTCTTTTTTTAGATAATGATGAAATGTGGGAAAATAGTGAAATTAGGGCTCTTAAAACATCTATGTGGAGGTGGGTGGGCTGGGCGTGCACATGTGGTGGTCGATGTGGCATATTAATACACACATGTACTTTTGAACCGAGAGATAGTTTAAGGGTATACTTAATCTATTTCAACAGTTGAAGAGTTTTGATCCTTTTCCATTTAAGATATTAAATGAATTAATATATTACTAGTTGAATGAGTTATTAAGTATATCCAGCTAAAATTTATAAAACTTTTGTGGTACATTCTTAAGCTCAATGCATAAATAATTTCATTCGTCAAAATATGTCACTTCTTTAATTATATACGATAACTTTAATAAGTTACAAAACTCAAATATATTCTAATTGATATTGATGTATATGACAAAACATAAATGATATGTCGTATGTAAATTTACATATGTAATGAATGCTAAAATAAATACATAATTTTTTTTCAAAATTTAAATTAAAAATATCAAATAAATATATTTTTCACATCTATCTAAATGCTCACTGCTTTTTTGTTCGGTCAAATATTTGGTGAGTTTTAAAGTTTGTCAAATTCCAAAAATTGCAGCTCCCGGAAATTGAATTAGGCTAGTAAAGCGTTTACGTTATGCCCCTAATATTTTGAGGCTCAAAAGAAATTTAATAATAACTTCTATAATTTCAGTTTAACTTAAAACAATATTGAAGATGGTAAGAAAGGTACATAATTTTTATTTTTTTTTATATATAAAACTAGAAATATTTTATAACTTTAAATTAAACAACTCAAAATTTTCATATTGATAAATGAAATTTTTACAATAATATCCAAAATAATGTACTGCACATAAATGACTAAATTCTAAGTTACTAGAATTATCTCTTACTTTTATAAATAATAATACATTAATATTACTATTGGAAGTTAAATCCATTAAATATGTATGTATATATATTTAAAAGTTTTGATTAAAATTTAATTTTATAAGCCATTAATTTTATTGAGAATCACTTACCACTAATATGAAAATGGACCGAAATTACTAAATAGAAAAAAATTACATCTCTAGAAAGTACATCGAACACCAAAAGGATAAACAACAACAAATATAATATATGTTAGTGATGTTATTATTAGTTATGCTAACATTATTTTTATGCGATGTCTGATTTGATCTATTAAAAATAACATGCATGACATAACTTTTAAGAAAACAAAATTTATCTTCCACAAATATGAAATAAATTAAGGATGTCGAAAAGATTTTGAAAAACAATTGTGTCTTCAACCAAGCTAATGCATACATTAAAATCTCTTACATTGCTAATTAAGATTTCCCGTGTATTTTAGTTATACATAAAATAATACCAAAAAAGTTAATGCATACATTATTCTTTTCTAATCATCCTACCAAACGATCATTTTTATTTGATATTAAGCTATGTATAACTAATACAAGGAAAATCATGATAGCAATGCAAGTAGATTTGATGCAGATTTATAGCATGGTTAACTAAAATACAACTAACCCTTAAAAAAAACACATCATTTCCATCGCATTTGACATCCTTTCCATATTTGTAGAAAATATTTTTATAAATAAATATGCTTTAAAAAAATTATGCAATAATTCTATTATTTTTAATACACCAAATTAGATACTCCATAAAAAGAAATCTCAACATAACTAATGCAAGTCAATATCAGTATTATTATTATATCATATTCAATACTATTCTTATAGATTCAATCAAATAATATCCCCGTGAATAGACTTGTTCACTGGATAAGATATAATATTTCGATTTAAAAATCATTTGATGTAGCAACAAGATAATGCATGAATCATGATTCAAAGTTCTTTTTATAATAAAAAAAAAAGAGGCATTATGAGTTATGCCCCGTTAATTAATGCAAGAACCACGTACGATACAAAAATTATAATATGAGATTAAGATAATGTGTTCTGTACATTAGCAGTAACACTACCTTCGAGTTTATGAGACCACTAATACTTTTGGAATGTATAGTAATAAATTTTAACTAAAAGAATGATATAATCCATCCAAAGATCATTTGAATTTCAGAAATAACGAACATTCAAAATATCACACATTGATTAATCAAAAAGAAATTTAACAACAAAAACAAAAAAATTCGTTTGAAAACCTTCTCTCATTACACAACGAAAAGATATAAAATCAGACCGATTAAAATCTTACAAAATCATGTTATAAAACTAACCACGACAACTTGAAAAGTAGTACTTGAGCACGGTTCATTCCGTTTCTCGTTATTTATTCATTAATCTTTCACAAACTCATAGAAGCAAAGTACATAACGTATGTTAAAGAACGTATACGTAGTAAGTTATACATATCTATTGACGATCATAACAAACTCAAAATTCAAAAAGTTACTCTTTCCTTTTGGTTCTAATCTCATGTCTTCGGCATGACAGGCAGACAAATCATACTGATAGCAACATTTGACTTTTCATTTCATAAGCGCCTTCCACTTCCTACTAGCCTCTGCAGACGCGTTGTTAGAACATGTAACATGTTCTTGATGCATTTCTGTAGAGGCACCTGCTACATGCCCAACATCAGAATAAGTAACTTTGAAATCAGGAGTATATATATGTTGTTGAATGATCTCATTTTGTCTAGCAATAACTGGTGGTAGTACCAAAGGACTTGAAGTAGAACGAAATCCTGATAGTTGTCCGATTTCATCTAGTCGAAAATCCCTGCTGGTGTTGCAGTGAAGGAAGTCTATAGGCAAAGTATCTATTGAATCAGGAGTTTCTGTTTCAACTTTCGGAGGAGTTGCGTTTAGGTGATTTTCCATGTTGATCGTTGTTTTCGGAGTTGAAGTACTACATTCATGAACTGAGGAAGTCTTGTGTTGATCGTTAGGATATGAGGTCGTCCATGAATGAAGTGGATAACTTTGGGCATGGAATTGCATCTGCCAAGGAAAGGAAACTATATATAGAGGAGTCTCTGGAGCGGCGTTCATCATCACGGACTCCTCTATACTTTGGGTACCACTTTGTAATATGAGACCGTCAAAACACGGAAGAACGGTAGACAGAACGAGAGGCACTTGGTTATGCAGAGAAGTTGTGGATGTAGCTGAAGTAAGAGTTTCCACAAGAGTAGACTTACAATCATCATCTGTTTCCTCTACTTCAGTCTTTACATTTTTAGCTAGCTGCAATGAATCAAGTCATTTTTCGCATATGTAATTTGTTCATGTAACGCAAAGTCGATAATCTCCAATTAAACTAAGTTACCTGCATTCTCAAGTTACTGTTTTTGTTCTTCAACGATTTGTATTCTGCAGCAGCAAGTTCTTTAATCTATTCGTCAAAAATGACACTCAGCAGAAAAACGGCAGAGATAGCACAAATATATGAGTAAAGATATCACACATACCTTTTTCAAATTTTCATTCTCCAGTGCTAGATCATCTGCTTTTCTTCTCATTTCCTCTCGCATTGCCTTTTAAGGAAAAACTATCAGATTTTGACATGGTACAGTCTGTAGCCTCAATTTAATTAAGTTCTCCATCGATAACAAGAAACGTAGAAGTCCAGGGAATATGAAAATCCTATAAAGAATCATTGAACCATAAGGACTTTGTCAATTCTCATTCTTGTTAGGCAGATGATTTTGGTTGGAAGACGAGCGGTAAGGGTAGAACTGCAAGTCCCAACTGCAGTAGGAAGACACACTAATTATGTTTAAGTAGGAAGACACACTAATCATGTAAACATATTTTATTGGGACGTCTGTGGACACAACGGTTGCCTGATCACTCTAAATTAAGTGCATTGTTCCAAACTATTATCATGTTAAAAAAAAACATGTTATGTTATGTTCTCTAAGGAGAGTTCTCAAAGCACCAGCACAAACTCCGTTAGTTCACCAACGGCTTCAATTAGTTCGTAATGAAGTCGTTCAGCAAGTGTAGGCATAACCTTGTTTTACAAGAAAAGGGTCAACTGGAAACCTGGTAAGTAAATCATCCAACACATAAATTTCCTTCTTGCATGGTAAAATAAACAGCCGACTCGCATGCACATTAAGGGAATTGGGAATATAATAAAGTAAACGAAAGTTTGTTCTCTCTAAAAATCTAAAAATTTAAATTTGTTGATGAAATGATAACACTCTTAACAATGAAATATAAAAATGTCATAGCACCCTCAGTTAAGTAAGTTTGTGCCTTCATTTAGGGAGTGGTGTACGCAGAATTTGTAAGCGGTTGAGTATACCAGCATACCTGTCTACGATGAATTGTCCGCTTGGCAGATTCTCTGTTAGCTAATACACGGCGCATCCTTCGTTCTTCCTTCTCTGCCTGAGCAAACATGCTTTCAGTTTTAAAAAAAAAGAATTGAAACATCTAAGAAATAAGTATAAGAGACTGTAAATCTTTAGCACCTCAGTCAATTCCTGCCGCGATGTTCTTCTGGTAACTGGCGGTGGATAATTTAAATCACATACAATACTTGTTTTGAGTTCAGATTCATATCCAGCCTGAATAGCTACTTCTTGCTCATCTTCAAACTTTATGGCTATTCCTTGCTCCTTTATACACAAGAGAGCATCGGGGAATTCTATCAAAAGACCAGGAACAAATTGCAAAAGAAATCATATCTACTTAGACAGAAATGGCTTCAGGGGCACCTGTTACAAATACTTGCAGTACTGCCCAGTAACCAATTTGTTCCTGAGGTAAGGAATAACCAGTTACGCCAAAAGATGCACACACGAAGATACGTAAATGAAAGTTAAAACCTCGAAATGAAAAGTAAATTAATTCCCGTCAACATCTAAATTAAGTCCATATTGAAAAGCAAATGAGGAAACTAACCTGTGCCTCCTAGACATTCCGAGAAAACACGCAATAGAGTAGTTCAGCTCGGACTGTCATATCTTAAACTAACATAAAAAACAATTCACAATGTATGCCCTTAAAAAACTTAGTAAGTATAGATGTTGCATCCAAATCACCATTATCTCAATGCTGAAGAATTGAGTCCATTTCCTAGAGAAAATAAAGAGACAATACCCATTGGGCATTGAGAGTAGTCTCATGTTCCTCTTTTCCTCTCTCTTGCCAATTGTCAACACAATTAACTCAACTCGTCCTATAAAGGGATCACACTGGTGTGTTTGGTACAGAGGAAAATATTTTCTGGTTAGATCAAACTTCTTTAACGAAGAGGTTCTGAAAGTAGGGAAAATAAATTTCACAACTAGAATTTTATATCAATCATCTCATCTTGGTTCTCACGTCCACCCCACCCATAGCCTCCCTTTGAACTATACCAAATTGAATAACAATGCCCCCAATTAATAATTTGATTTAAAAATACCCCTGTCGTCGATAGTTTGATCGAATCAGATATCATTTCATCAATTAATATAGGATAATTACATGTATCTTCTTGACTAATACTCCTATGGTCTCACTTTATATGACTTACTTTCCTTTTTAGTCGTGACATATTTCTATATAACTTCAAAATATGCATTTTACCTATCGAATGATTTCTAGCGACACAAATATACTCGACTTATTTTAGACCACAAATTATAAAAGTATTTCTTATTTTATTTAAATAAGTGTCAAGTCAAACAAACTCATATAAATTTGGACAGGAGGAGTAATATAAGGTATATATAAATAAGATTATAGTAATTCCATCGTTAATTTCATTTTGATAACATAATGTTTTTTTAATAAAATAGACAATAGTTGTATTTCTTAATATAGGATAAACATTTGCTAATCAAAAAAATTATTATTAGAAAAAGAATTGACACTACCAAGAAATGAAACAATTATCTTCATTAGGAAAAAGGGCATTTTCGAATAGCTAAGTAACAATTTGGACATTTTTTAATCAAACTATTGCCAGAGGGATATTTTTAGAACAAAAATATTAACCGAGACATTTTTGTTCAATTTCGAATTGTTTGCATTTTTGACCCTTTTACGTAGACTATTATAAAAATATTTTTGAGACAACAATATTCTCTGTGTATCTACCAAATATCATAAAATAAGTAAACAAATTCAATAAATTTACTTGGCGGAAAATATTTTTCTTCGTACCAAACACACGTTAATATGATTGTATTGAAGCCATAGTTACAGATGTCCAGAGCTCGTACCTGAACTGATGAACACGAACGGTGAAGCAAACTAATTGGCACAATGCTTTTTAAATTATGTACTGTTAGTATCAGTAAGAAAAAGTGTGTCAGTTTTATAAATCAAAATTGAATACAATCATACGCATACAGTAATACGAGCATCGTCGGCGTCTACGGAGAATTCAATTTCACCGGCGGTATGATCTCG